CTTTTTCATAGAAAATTCGCAACACTTTTCTAAATTTTTAATTTTATTTATTTCCTAAATAATGTGGTAAAAGAATGCAAATCAATTGACGCACCATCAGCAGTCAATATATTAACCGTTGACCACTAACTTTCAAAGTTGACGCCAATGAAATTTAAGACAACAATAATCATTTTGAAAAAGTTGGGCCACAAATGTGATAAAGATAAGGGTTAATATTTTCGTATGGCCTGAACTTTGACCAAAATAAACATCCTGGCCAATCTTTTCGATCTATAACATCCTGGCCCGAACTATACACCAAAATAAACAATTTGGCCAAATCCGATGTTTGACCGTTAACTTGGACGGTCAAACGCGTTGACTAACAGTCAACGATCCACGTCACTGCCAAGTCAGCAAATTTAAAAAAAAAAATCCACCTATTCCATTTTATTTCCTTACTCATTTTGGAGAAAAAAATAATAATAAACAAAACGCAGCACCAGCACCTGGCCCGCCCCTGCCCTAACCCTACCTTATCCATATCTCTGCATCGTCGAACCTCCCCGCCGTTCTCACTTCTCGCCTTCTCCTTCCTCCATCGTCGAACCTCCCCAACTCTCCGACTAAAATGCAGCGGCGGGCGTTCTTCTGAGCCCGCCGCCGCCGCCACCGCCATCGATTACCACGTTTATCCCTTCTACCTCGCGAAGATTTTCCCCTTTCTCCCTCGCGATTTCTGCTTCGTCGCGATCTCTGTGCATCGATAGCGACTTGGATTTCAAGGACGACGAGGGGTCCACATTCCAAAGGGACCACAACCGACATAAATTCATCCCCACCAGCAACGTAAGCAATCAAATCCCTTTCTTCTCTCCATTTCCATTCTTTTTTTAATCCTCGATACATACAAGGATTAGGGCTTTCTATTAAACTAATGCTCGCGACCAGCATTTGTCGTGTTAAGAGCTGGAAATTGAGATTAAAGTAATGGAATTTGAGATTAAAGTAATGGAAATAGAGTTTAAAGTAATCTCGAATCAATTTTTTTTGTCTTGGGCAGAATGGACGACATGGTTGAGCTTATTCTGCATCATGGAGGCGCTATGGATATGTCGGGGGGTGTTCCACAGTACGTTGGGGGGGTTGTCGATGTGGTCAATGTGAATCGTGATGTCTTGTCCTACTTCGAATTGACGAAGACTTTGATTGAAGATTTGGAGTATATTTCCGTCGAGAGGCTATGGTACTTGACACCTGGGGAAAGTATGGCGACTGGATTGCATGAAATTGTGTCGGATGTGGAGGTTTTAACTGGGTTGCTGCCTTTGGTTGGAACTGGAGATATAAAGGTGTACTTTGAGGCAACAAGGGATCTCGGAGAGTCGGGTTATATGGGAGACAATTATGGCCATTTTCCTGAAGGGGAAGATGCATCTGGAGACAATTCAGCTGCACCTGAGTTTGTTCGGCTAGACGATGATGCTCAGACATCCGATGAGGAATACCATGAGATTAGAGCTGATGCTAGGAGAAGGAATAGAAGATTTATAGCAGATCTTGATGGTGAAGGTAGTTCAGTGAATCAATTGTTTGCGTGGGATGTCAACCATCATGCTGACTTTGCTTCGGATAGTGCTAGTATTGAGGGTGGAGCTGAAGCTGAAGCTGAAACTGTGGATCTTGATGAGAGTTTGGAGCTTGATGAGAGTTTGGAGATTGATGAGGGTATTGAAAGGGGTACAGAACAAGTGAACGTTGAGGAGGAGATAAATGCAGAAGGATCAGTTGATACGGAGTATAGGGCCTCTGAGGATTCTGCCCATGTTAGAGGGAACATTGCTGAAGATGATGGTGCTACAAGCTTCGACAAGAGCTTGTGTTATGATCCCAAGTGTGATCATGTCACTTTGAAGTTCAAAACACATATGCGGTTTTTAGATGGTAATCAATTTAAAACTGCTGTTATGAAGAATGCAATTAATATGGGAGCTGATATTAGATGGGTTAGGAGCAGTGAAACGAGGAAGGAAGCTGTGTGTGCACAAAGGGAAGAGTATAGTTGCAAGTGGAAGGTTTATGGTAGTTGGTTTCGTGGAAGAGAAGCATTCATGGTTAAATATGCTGGGCCAGATCATATTTGTCCTCGAGCAATTCGGATTCGTGCGGCGGGTTATAAGTGGATTGCTGCTGAGTACCTGGATGTTTTCCGTGTTAATCAAGCATGGAATGTTAACTTAATACCAGCTGAATTGAAGACCAAACACAATCTCTATGTGTCTAACCAAACATGTTATAAGGCACGTTTGGAGGCTCGACAACTGCTTTATGGTTCGCTTACTGAGGATTTCCACAAACTCAGAGACTATATTGGTCATTTGCTGAGAGTTGACCATAGAGGGTCATTCCTGCTCGAGGTTGATTCTGTGCCTAACTCAGAGAAGGTATATTTCAAGCGGTTGTTCATTGGTTTCTCTAGTTTGGCAAGGGGTTTCTTGGAAGGGTGCAGGCCTTTCTTTTGTTTGGATGGCTGTTTCTTGAAAGGTGAAGTACAAGGGATGTTACTGTCGGCAGTTGGAAAGGACGGTAACAACCATATGTTCCCAATAGCATGGGAAATGGTTGAATCGGAGAATAAAAGTTCCTGGACCTGGTTCATTAAAGCATTGCAAGAGCTACTTCGGATCGAGGATGGTGGCGGTTGGACAGTAGTCTCTGACCAACAAAAGGTATGCATTCATACTTGGTTAATATACACTCACTTGTTATAATTGTGCAATTGACTTTATGTGTTTACTTGTGGAACTTGCAGGGGCTGGTGGAAGCGCTAAATGACTGTATGCCTTCTGCAGAACATCGAAAGTGTGCTCGTCACGTCCATGCGCACTTCAGAGAAAAACACAAGTCAGCTATAGCTTCTGATCTATACTGGGAGGCGGTGTATGCATTAAATGAACCTGATTGGAGGGCTGCTGTTGATAAATTGAAGCAACTTGGGGAGGGTGCTGATACAGACTTCATGGCCATGGAACCAGCAAGGTTCTGTAGAGTCTTCATGCAGACTTTCTCCAAAAGTGACTCAGTAGAAAGCAACATTTGTGAGTCTTTCAACAACTGGATCTTGCGGTTTAGGTCGTTGAGACCAATTGCAATGTTGGAGGGTATCCGAGTGGCTGTAATGACACGAATTGTCAAGAACAGAAGAATGATGGAGCGTTGGAGTGATAAATTTCCACCAGTGGTTAGGGGAAAACTAGAGAAGGCAAAGCATTTGGCACGAATGTGCACCAGCCGCCCTTCTACAGAAGATAAGCATGAGGTAACCATAGGAGACAAGGGGTTTGTGGTTAACATCAAGAAGGGTACCTGCACATGTGGTTTCTGGTTGCTAAATGGAATACCATGCTGCCATGCCTTTGCTGCCATAACTTACTTGCGAGGGAAACCGGAGGATTTTGTCTCTGAGTACTTCTTGATGAACCGAGTAAAATGTGCCTACATGCACCCTATCCCACCATCAGAGGGTCGACAAGCATGGCTTCCAGTGGAAGGATATAAGGTATATCCACCACAAATTCGTCGGATGCCTGGACGTCCAAAAACTAAAAGGAAGAGGGAGACGTGGGAGGTAACCAGGAAAGCATCAAGAGATGGAATTGGGGAAATTGCTACTCGACACAGCCTTGTGATCACTTGCACCAACTGTGGAAAAGATGGTCACAACAAAAGAACTTGCAAGAATCCAAGGAAGCCATCAGAACCTCCAAAAAAGAAGTCAATAGCAGCACAACCTAGACCACAAGGAAATGTAACTGCTGCCCAAAACACAGCCAACGAGGTAATTGCAGTTTTAACTTAAGCGCTCTTTAATATCTTGATTTCATTTCGTTAATGGTGATTGGTATGAATTCAGCCCAAGCAAAGGAAGAAGAACAAATGCTCAAAGTGTCAATCAGAGTATCATAACGCCAGAAGATGTCCTATGAATGTTGGTGTTCAGGTACAGTGTGAATGGTGATTGAATTTATGTGTGAATCTGTGAATGTATGGTGATTGAATTTATATGTGAATCTGTGAATGTTTATATAGGCTCCTCATGTTGGATCATCCAGTAGGCATGTAACAGATAGGGAAATGAGGATGGCAATGCGCGGAATTGGAACTTATATTGATGAGAACACAGGCAACATGTATGCTAGGGTAAGAGGCTTTATGTAGGCTCATGTTGGATCATCTCTCATGTTGGATCATCTACTGTCTTAACTAGTAAGAGGCTAATTCGTTGTTTTTTTTATGCAGATGAGTAATAGGGTTCCAGGGGCTGCTGGACATGTGCAAGCTACTGCACCAGATGTGCCTGCTGTAGGTGCTACACAGCCGCCTGCTACTCAGCCAGAGACACCTTAGGCAACTTAGGGAAGCTAGAAGAACTCCACACTTTTGTAATTTTGTACATGGTTGCACATGTTAGCACATGTTTTAGATGTGGAGTAGTAGGAAGTAGGAACATATTATGTACATGCTAGGACATGTAGAAAGCTTCGAGTCACTCTTTTGCTAGGTACTCAGAATCCAAATTTATGGCACACCGACGATTCTGCCTTATTTTGTACATGCTAGGACATGTTAAAATGATGGTGTGCCCAAGTTTGGTTGATGTACTAACTCTCTGCCTATTTTGTACATGCTAGGACATGTTAAAATGATGGTGATTCCAAGTTTGGTTGATGTACTAACTCGCTGCCTATTTTGTACATGCTAGGACATGTTAAAATGATGGTGATTCCAAGTTTGGTTGATGTACTAACTCGCTTAAAACGAAACGCTTTATTCAATCTCTACTACAAACACCATATTCAATCTCTACTACAAACACCATTCTTCTCCAACATTAAATCTCCATTACATACGAAGTGGTCCACCTACGATTACAACAACGACTACGAAGAGCACACAAAAACAACATAAATTCATCCTATTTTGAAGGCCATAAACTGTATGTCTCATCTTTCGCAATTCGAGACAAATAGCAGAATTCAGTTCGGCAAGCTTGCCCAAGTCCTCTAAAATCGCAGCCTTTTCTTCTTTCCGTTTCCTGGCCTTCTCTTCTGCTTTACGAACACGGCCTTCTAGAGCTTCCATATCACCAAGCTTCAATTTAAGTTCATGATTCTCTTCAATCAATCCATCAAACCTTGAGTCACTATCCGGCTCGTCATCAACCCATCGGAAAAAATGGCAACTCTTTTTGTCATCCTACAGAAATGGAAGAGGTGAATCGAGATCCAGTTGGTCGAAAACAAAGATGTAAACTTGGATTTCAACCTACCTTCCAATATGGACACGAGAAGAACATTCTTCCAGGATTTAAGCTAGTGCGGGATGTATTGATCACACAAGGGGCTTTGTGCACTTTACAACGAATGGTGCCTGTGTTCGTCGAACGGGAAGAAGTGGAGCCTTCGTCGGCGTTTTTCACGGATCTCCTCGACATGTCTCTTTCTTTCTGCAAACCTTCGACAACGACAGCGACGTCGGCGGAGGAGGAGGCGGCGGCGGAGGCAGTGGCGGCGGCACTGGGCTATTCTCTCCTTCTTTCGTCGGTGGTGGCCGTCACGATGGAGGATAGGAGACGAGAAGAAGAAGAAGAAGAAGAGGAAGAATGAGGGTAGGGTTAGGGCAGGGGCGGGCCAGGTGCTGGTGCTGCGTTTTGTTTATTTATTTATTTTTTTTTTCTCCAAAATGAGTAAGGAAATAAAATGGAATAGGTGGATTTTTTTTTTTTTTAAATTTGCTGATTTGGCAGTGACGTGGATCGTTGACTGTTAGTCAACGCGTTTGACCGTCCAAGTTAACGGTCAAACATCGGATTTGGCCAAATTGTTTATTTTGGTGTATAGTTCGGGCCAGGATGTTATAGATCGAAAAGATTGGCCAGGATGTTTATTTTGGTCAAAGTTCAGGCCATACGAAAATATTAACCCTAAAGATAAAGTACAAGCCCTCCAGTGATACTAATATACATACGACACATAAGCTTAACAGAGTTAGGATCCTGTCTGCTCTTTTAAGCAAACTACAGATTATTGCGTAAGCAAATGTTGCCCGCTTAGTTGCTCTTGCTCCTCCTCCCATGCTACACTACGTTACTCCAAGCCTTGATTAAGATCTGGAAACCCACACGAGAACATACCCGAAATCCACATGAAAACCAGCACAAGCTTAATACGAAAAATATAAAATATAAAAAGAAAGTAACAGAATCTTAATACGAAAAATATAAGATGTAAACAGACAGACCGTAACAGTCGAGATTGGGAAAGAGCGATGCACAGATTGGTTGTGATGAATGAGGATGTAACCACATGGCTGAGTTGATAATCATCACAGGGAGGGAAAGGAGATGGAAAGTTGAGAAAGAAATCAGTAGTCACGTCTTTCCACATCATTCCTTATCCAGTCCTGACAACACATCAAAGCTTGCACGGTATCGGGTTGTTGCAGAGACCAGTCCTGATGTTCGAGGACTCGTCCTCCATTGCTAAAAGCATGCTCTGGCGAAACTTTCGACATTGGGACTCCCAAGACGTTCCGAGCTACCATGGCTAGTATGGGATAGCTGGGAGTGTGAACGTGCCACCAGTTTAATATGTTGAAGTCTGCAGTTAGGGGAAAGAGAGGTTCTTCGAAGTACTTGTCTAAATCAGACTTGGAGCATTGGCTTTGGGAAGTTTCATGGAGGAACTTGTCAAATTTGATGAACCTATCCCGTGCAGAGATAGATAAGGCATCAGAACTACCACCAACCCCAACTTGATAGGCCAGACCTTGGTCAAGAGAAGCTAACGGGGATCCAATTGAGTGTTCACTGTAAAGAGTCTTGATGTACCCAAACACTTCATCAACAAACTCTGCAGACCCATTACCGAATAATTGTGGGTAGTAGTATTCTATCAACTTCATCTTAAAACGAGGATCTAGCATGGCAGCAACTGCAAGAGGCAAACTACACTTGTCCCAATATTCATCAAACTTGCCTTTCATCTTGGCTGCCACGTTAGACATAAACTCGTCAGGATTGTTGCGCCATTCAATCAACTGCAGGTGAATATCACAGACCTCAGAGAAATATATGTTTGCAGTTGGATATTTGCTCTTCGTGAAAACATTAATCACATCAAGAAATAACTTCAAGTGGCTGGACACAGTAGCAGCTCTCTCCCACTCCAAATCAGATAGGGAGACCATGAAGGCAGGGTCTTGCTCCCGAAGGAGAGAGAACGCTCTCCTGTACTCCAATGTTGTTTCAAGCATACAATATGTAGTGTCCCAGCGTGATGGACTATCAAGCAACAAGCACCTATCAGTTTCACAAACAACTCCAGCTTGTAAGGCCAAATCACTGAATTTATTTTGGATTAGTTGTGAACTTCTGACATACCGGATGCTTTCCCTAATCTTATTTGTGATATCAAGGAGTGCATCCAACGCATCACGTGCCATTAGATTGACAAGATTCACAGCACACCGTATTTCGAATAGTTGACCATTGCAGTACAAGAATCTGTTCTGGGACAGCTGATCTCTGATCCGAAACACCATATTGTCAGTAGTAGAGTAACTATCAACTGTCATTGAAAACAACTTGCGGTCAATATCCCATTCCTTTACACAGTTCATGATGTCCTCTGAATACATGTCTTCGGTATGAGAAGGATCCATCATTATAAAATTCAACACCTTCTTCTTCAATTGCCAAGATTCGTCAACATAATGTCCCGACAAACACAAATACTCACCAACATCTGCAGCAGTCCACAGATCAACAGTAAGGCTAATCTTGCCAGGCAATTTATCGAGCACCTCGTACACCTTCTGCCTCTCCTTAACATAAATTTCCTTACAGTCAGCCTCAACTTTATCGAAGGTTACAAGCTCAAACAGTGGTTGCAGATTCTTGAGAAACAATTTAAACCCAGAATGCTCAACCATACTCAATGGATAGCCGTGCAGAATGATCATTCGGGCGAGATCAAGTTGACTTCTCCTCTGATCCATGTTACCCTTTGCGACAGTTAATAGTTCATCTTTCAGCTGTCCCTGCTCGAACTTGTAGTTCAAGATGGTAAGTGGTTCCACCATCTTCTGATCCTGATCCATAGTCACGTTGGCAAGTGCAAGGGTTGCTTCCTTTTTCTTTTCCCTAGGGGTGAGATACTGGCTAATACCATGGCTGCTTCTTCTCTGACACCTTATCAGATGGTTCCTCAAATGCGAAGTCCCGCTGGTACTCGACCCGCTCAGTTTTTTCTTGCAATGTCGGCAAATAGCAACAAAAGTGTCCCCCTTTTTCACCCTATCAAAGTCATTCCAGACCACGGATTTCAATCTGCTAGACTTCACCGCCACTGCATCAGATAACTCCATTGCTGAATCCCCTTTTCCCTTCTATACTACCTGGCCGTCAGGAAGCAAACTTCAGCTATAAACAATTTCAACAATGCAACAAACAACAACGAGCATCCGAAGCAAATTTCGAGAGAAATCGACCAACTTCCTGTGTTCCATCCACGATTACATTCGCACAAGATAGCACTCACCAACAAAGAACTGCAGAGCAGAAAGGGCCAAAAAATTTGCACCTGAGCGAATTACCCATCAACATTCGATGGTGTAAGAACAGATGGCAGAACCCAGATCGGAGAGGCCTGGTGGAGATGAGATATTCAAGGGTCATCGGTGCAGCAAGTGAACAGAGCCGTAGGGGTCGCCATGCAATGCAAGGAAGGGGGGAAAGCCAAGCAGCAGAGAGCTCGCGGCGGGAAACCGAGTTCAATGGACTTGGGGCACCCGCCTGATCCAATCGGGTCAAACAATCCGGGAATAAAAAGAGAACCCGAACGGGTGTCGGATCGGAAACCTAGTACCGCTCCAGCCAAGGTCGGATTCAAGAATACAATACCGCTAAAAAGATCGCCGAATAAATAAAAAGAAAATGAGAGACAGAAATATTACAAGCTAGGGTTTTAGGGGACGGTGCAGAGAGAAGGGAAGAGAGGGCGCGGAGCATAAACGGATGGAGAAGGAAGAGGAGATGGGTACTGGGTGGGTGGGTGGGTGGGTGGTGAACGAGTCCTCGGATATCCGAATTTAGGGCTCGGTTCGTGAATTTCTCTTTTAAATTCCTAGTTTCCAGCCTTAACAAAAATAATTCTCTACTTCTTTAATTAGATTAATAATAGCATTTTATATTTTTATAATTTTGCAAGTTAACGAATATATACATACGAGGAATTTTACAATGCTATATAGTATTGGTGCTATAGGTTTTTACTTTTATGGTACAACTTGAAATTGTACCTTTAATGTTATGCTACAACTTCAGATTGTACCTATACTTTTTGTACAAATTCTTTTATGGTACAACTTAAACGTGTACCTTATGTGATGGTACAACTTCAAGTTATAAAGTTGTACCATAACATAATGATACAAATTCCTTTATGGTACAACCTAAACTTGTACATTTAATGTTATGGTACAACTTCAAGTTGTACATTAAAGCACCAATACTATATAGCATAGTAGAATTGCTCACATAATACATGTATTATTATTTTGCACGTTCATATCCCTCCATAATAGAAAAATAACAAATATATCCTTTGTTATTTTTTTGTCAATTAACAGTTATAAGACCAACTTCAATGCTAGTTCCCAAATTTGGGGACGTTCCTTCATTTCTAAATTTGGGGCTATTTCCATTTAAATGATTTTTGCTCCAATGTCACCATTTTCAAATTTGGGGATCTCCATTTTTTTTAGTTTTTTACTTAAAAATATACTTATTATCATCTCAATATAATTTATTCATGTTAATTTTAGTATAGTTCGTCATAATTTTTAAATATAAAATATTTGATAGAATTTTTTTAAAATTCTGAGACCGAATTTTTTTTGTCAAAAAATGTTTGACCTAACTTATCATGGTGTGCACAAATTTGAAAGTCATTTTAGGTCCATAAATCATAAATGTAGAACCGAAATGCGAAGGAATTCATCTCATAAAAGAATTAGGCAAAATACACCTGTATAGCCATATCTTTCACACTTTTGACAAATATAGCCATTTCTATTCGAAAACCTCAAATAGCCCAAAAAACGGAGGGTAGTATGACAAATCTAGCCAAAAACGTTAGAAACTTTAACACCGTCTGCTATTCCGTTAACTCGTTTGACGGAACGCTGACGAGGACGGAAATCGGCCTCCACATGATTGACACTTCAGCAAAATGTACACATGGAATGCCACGTGTAGAAAAAAAATGTTATATCTGCTTACTTACCCCCCTTCTCCTTCCCTACAACCCGAAAAAAAATTCTCACGATTTAGGGTTCGCACCTGGTGGAGACGACGCCGCCGCTCGAGACCACGACGCCGAGGAACGCGCTGCTACTGATTCGGAGCAGATCTGCGCCGTACAGGTCATCGTCTCCGGCGAGCCGGTTTTGGGGGTCGCCGGTCTGGAGCGAGGAAGAAACGGAGGAGCGGAAACATAGCACGGAGCAAGACTCGAGCCTGACATCGAAGAGGGAATCTTCTTCTTTCGAGGAGGAATCCGACAAGGAATCGAGGTTGGATCCGGAAAACGAAGAGACCAGGTTGGGGGTTTTCAAGGATTTTGAAGGCTCTGTGGAGTCGGTGGTCATATAAATAACAACAGCCGCAACGAAGCTTGAAGAGGAGGAGGAGAAAGTGGGGGAATACGCCGAGACGATGACGTCGCCGCGGCGGCCGGTTGTGCTGACGAGGTGTAAATCCGAGTCGGCGAGGATCACCGGCGAGAAGCTGGATCCGGAGGTGAGTTTCTGGAAGAAGAGGAGGTTGGGGTTCACGTGATTAGATTATTTAATTTAACAATTAGTGAAGTGCCTACTCCTGGAAGGGGGTTATCGGAGGAAGATCGAAAAAGGGGGCGAAATCGGTCGTCGTCAGTCTCATGGTCGGAGGAAGAGAGGTGAAGGGGGAAAGAAAAACGAAGGGATAAGAAAGAATGGACGAGTCACGAGTGGTGGTGGGCAGCTGGGTCACTTTCATCTTTTTTTATTATTTTTTTTATTTTCCACGTCTGATTTCCACGTCGAAAAGTGGGGTAACTCAGTGGCCAACTCAGCGCAAGCCGTTAGTACAGTCATAACGTCTACTAACACCGTTACCAAAATGGACGGAATTGGCTATTTGTGGTTTTCGAATAAAAATGGCTATATTTGTCAAAAGTGTAAAAGTTATGGCTATACAGGGGTATTTTGCCAAAGAATTATTATCTACAATTCGCCAAGATTGATGTTTAAAGCTTCTTTTATGGTAATTTCATGATTTTATAATTTCTTTTATGGCAATAATGATATTGTTTCCCAACGGTTAGATTTAAATTCCTCATTAATTCTCTAATTAAAACTCTAATTAAACCCCATAATTAACCCTCAAATAAATTTAAAAAATATAAGGGGTCGGACAAGGGACAACCGCCAGTCCGGGCGGTTGTCCCGCTCAGCAGTCGTCCATTCCCCTTTTTTCCGAGAATTGCCAAAAAACTTCTCCAAATTTGTCAATGCTTTTGCCGATCTTCCCCAAATTGCCGCCTATCGCCATTTAATTCACCCCGCTGGAGATGGCAATTCCCCAATTTTGCCTAGCCTATTAGAGTTACCCTAAAAAGGGAAAATTACACATTTACCCCTCTTAACCAATTAATCTATTTAATTTTCCAAGCCACAAAAACTGTGCGTTCCATGGATACCCAATTACCCATCATTTTAAAGTTGCTTGGTGATTATTAACAGTGTCAGATAGCCTATGGACACGAGTAATCAGAGCAAAGTAAATGAGGAAATCAGATGAAGGGTGGGTACCGAGGACCACTGGTTGTGTACTATATCCAATTTATAGAGAGGGGTCCTAAGGTTGATTCACCTCTTACTAGATGCATTAGTATGATGAGAAACTGCCTGGCTTGTGGACAAGATGAAAAGAATACACTTCATGTAGTACGTGATTGCTCCTTCCTCCGGGGCAGTGTGCACGCATTTCTTGGAAGTGGAGTCGGATGAAACTTTCTTCCAAGAAGATAGGACACGCTGGATTCATCATTACTCGCTGGGAAGGAGTCAAAGTGTCGAACCAACTCTATTTGCAAGGGTATGCTGGTTACTTTGGAAGAGTAGAAATAAGTGTGTGCTTGAAAGCATGCTTAGCTCCCCTAGTGAGCTCAACAATCTGGCAACAAAGCTACAACAACAGGTTAACTTGGCGTTGGGAAGAGACAACAAAATTGTGGGAGAAGGTACAAGCTATTCATACCATTACGTGAAGTGGCGAGCCCCGACACAGGATTGGATTGTGATAAATATAGATGGCTCACTAGTTAATGATAACACAGCGGCTCGAGGTGTGTTAAGGATGACGGATGGCCGGCTTGTGAAGGCATACTCGATGAATCTAGGAGAGGGCTCTCTGGCATCCTTGGCGGTTTACAAATTTTATGGGATATGGGTTATCAACAAGTGGAAGTGCAAACTAACTCGCAAGTGGTTTTGCAACTTATTCGAAAGGCCAACTCCAGGCATCCCATTTCTTGCCGGTCCAAAAAATTCGAAGGCTGCACGAGCATGACTAGGAGGTCCGATTTTCATGGAGGTTAATTTTGTGGTGGATTACTTGGCATCTCACGGACATCACCTAAGCTTGGGAGTGCACCTATTAGAAGCGTTGGATCCGATGCTTAATTACTAGATGTACTTTGACTGCATTGGGGTGGAAACATCTCACTTGATTAATAGTTAACGGTTGGGGTGCCCGCTTGCACTCAATTTTTGCACACAAAAAAAATTACAGAAACAAACAAAGCTATTGTTATTAGCTCTAATTTTCGGGGAAAAGTATCTCGATCCTGCTTTTTTCTTGTTCTTTTGCTTCGTAGTAACCCTGCCCTTCTTAATCGTGCTCTTTCACCAAATTTAGATCTGAGCTGACATCCTCGGCGCCAACAACTATAAGGATGGAAAAAGGTCGAGGACGTATAGTGCATCTACGTTACCTTATCCAAAGTAGTTTGGGATTTACCCATATTCATACTCACATAAGAATCGGGTAGAAAATCAAAATCATCCTCATACTCGTTCAGGTTTCAGGAATTCATGGTTAACCATGGGCAATAATTTTTATTTATAACTCCAACCAACTTGTTAACATTCACCTGTATACTCACATTACATAAGAGGAAAAATACGACGATATAGCATAGGTTTGTTCTCTGAACTGTTTGGCAGGTTTGGCATAAATTGGTCGGGGGAGTGGAGTCGCCTTCTTCAAGTAGCATGTCAGATGGCTGTTAGTGGTGGTGCTCAAGGAAGGTGTTTCTCTGTTCTTTGGAGCTTGTACGTGAGTCTAATATGGAAGGAGTGGTGTTGTAGACTATTTGAAGGAGCTAGCAGATCATGGCATCAGATTTTTCCCCAGATTAAAGGGGATGTGCTTCTGTTTTCGCTTGACAATGATTTGTTCAGGGTAGAAAGTAGAAATGCAGGCAATACCTCATTTGAGGGAGTTTGTTTAATGGTTGTAGTCAACTGCTGTTGTTGCTGATTGTGGACGTTTCGTCCTTGTATTTTGGAACACCTGGGTCGCTTTGGTCGAAGGGAGCTTTAATGAATGCCTAATTACCGGGGGGGGGGGGGGGGGGGGGGGGGGGGGGGGGGGAATATGACGACATATCACTGGAATGAAGAAAATTAATCAAAACAACACAATTTCATGAAAAATATTATATTTGTATTGTAAATATAAAATATGTAGAGAAAAATAATAATAATTTATAGACAACATATTTCCATGTGTATAATCGAGCATGTTCAGATTAGATAGTGAGAAAACCATGTCCACCCATTACTCGCAATATTCGGGTTCAGGTTTTACCCACACCAATTAAAAATCCTTCAAGTTTGCGTTTTACCATACCCAATTAGTTCAGATTCGGGCGAATATCCACGATTACAGATACTTTTGACATCCCTAAACAACTATAAAGTTGACGATGGGAGTTGAGATTCGAGAGTGGGATTCAAAAAGATGAAGCGTATTTTTGAGTCGGTTTAGATGTGGGGATGCTAATAATGTTCTTTAAATTATGTTGATTGAGTGAATCAACTATCCGGTTGATGACGTGTTAAGTTGTGGAGCTAGTTTCAAGGCAGACGCAATGTGAGATTTGACGAATTCAACAGCCTTGTAACGACGATATTCCTGAGATTGTGTTGGATAAGAATCCCATGAAGAGGATAAAGAGGGGTGGAACTTGTGGATAACACATGTGGATTCAAAAAAGAAGAACAGGCGATAACAGATCTTAGAAGCAGTTGGGGGAGGAGGAGTTGGTTAATGCTACGAACTGAGAAGAAGTTTGTGTGAGAGATCCAGATTTTATCCATGTAAAAATTTGAATTATAGACCTTCCACACATTTTGGATAATTGTAACTGACACAAGTTCATTACAATACAAAAAATATTTGTTGTCATAAAGTATTACTAAAATATGTAATTATATTGCAAATGCTATTGTATGTCTGGTGTACAATATATGCATGCCATATAGAAAATTCCTTGGTGGATTTAGGAGCAAGCACTAATGTCATGCCATTTAAACTTTACAAGAAATTGAACCTAGGTGAATTAAAACCCACTAGGTTGAGTGTTACATTGGCTGACCGCTCGGTGATTAGCCCTAGGGGTATTGTGGAAAATGTTCTAGTAAGGGTGGACACATTTTATTATCCGATGGATTTCATTATCTTGGACATTAGTGAAGATGCAGATATGCCCCTTATACTAGGACGCCATTTTCTTGCCACCGCCAAGTATTTAATTGATGTTAATGAGGGTACTATGATCTTGAGAGATGGAGAGCAGCAAATTACTTTTTCGGTTGACCCTAAGAGTAAGAATGATTATGTTAAGGAAGTGGAATCGAATGGTATGCTTGGAAGTGGAGGTGTGCCACTCAAGGCGAACCCCACTAGTGCTCTTGCTCCTTGTGATTATGTGAAACAGGGACCTAAGGCTGGTATCAAACCCGAAGGGAGGAAAAAGAAGGCTTGGTGTGCAAAGATGTGCCATGCCTTTACCCAAAAGAAGGATAAGGGTAAGGCGAAGGTATCCAACCAAGAGGGCCATCCTTTGGAGCTTAAGATGGGAGGTGACAAACCTCGCCCCGAGACCATGGTGAATCCACTCTAGGAGACCTCGTGCTCTCAAGCGTGAAAGAGCCGCAACGTCGAGCTAGGGACGTTAAACTAGCGCTTGTTGGTAGGCAACCCAACGTAGGTTTGTTTTCTTTTCTTTATTTTTATCTTTTTGTGATTGAGTGATGAGTTCAAGTGGTTGAATGGTGATCATCGTGCCACAGTTGTGTGTTTGAATGTTTTGGATGTTGTGTTATTGAGTTACGGGCATAGATGAATAGATTGAGTCTCGAAAATTGGAAAATGCCATGTCTTTATCAGTTCATGGTTTCAGCTCTATTATCACGGTCGTCAGACCGTAATAATGAGGTGGAGACCATGATCTCGAAGGGCAGTTCCACTTTGCCAAAACTGGTAAGCCCCTAATTGGGTAGCTTGGGTCAAAGAAGGCACAACTACGAATTCAATCAAGGATTGAGTTGAATTCGAAGAGAAAGAACTCGAAACAGAGTTTCAGGTTCGTGATTGGAATGGTAGTGTCGTGCAACCTTCTCAACGGGAAGGAGGCTCGACACTTCAAGATAGAGGCTTGGCCACGTTCAGTGGGAATAACTGAACGATACAAGCTCAAAATTGAGCCTAGAAACCCTAGGACAATATCCAGATTCCGTGAGCAAGAAGCTATGGAAATAAACTCTCGGTTTATTCGATTGAACATCATAATCCAACTTACACACCAAGTAAAGAACGTCCTAATCAGGATCCAACTAGAAAAGGAAAACAAATCTAACTGGAAAAAGGAAATTGAATTAAACCATATACGGATCCTAATCCGACTAGGATTTGGATTACTAATTCCTCCAGACAGAAACAATAGGCTCGACACGATCTTGGTGCCTTCATTTGAGCTCGTCCAGGAACCAAACCTTTCAACCAACTCCTTGCCTTTGTATTAGAAAATGTGAGCTTTCATGTGGAACAAATCTTGAAACTTGATTCTCACTAATTGTCTAGAATGGAACTCCATAGTTGCTCTCCCGAAACGGTCCCAGGCCTCAGCCGATTTTGGGTAGTTTTCTGGTTTTGACTTCCACTCTTGCACAGCCTGCAAAGCTACCTTATGGACTTCCAATCGAGCTCCATAGCATATCAACATGTAGAGGGTGACTCCAGCTTCAAAACAAGCCCTTACACGCCCATTTCTATTGAGTTAATAAATCGTTCCACACGTCCAAACTTGACCACCTAAAACTGTAAAAGACTTAAACAAAAATCAGTGTTCTTCAGGGGTAATGGAAATCGCCTTCTTGACCATAGATTGAGCTATTTAGGATCATAAAAAAAAACTCACCGTTTTTGCCCGAGATCATGGTTGGAGAGTTATGTTTACGATCTTAATGACCATGAAAATCGTCCTCCGTCCGTGAACCTTGGGATCATGCTATTGAAGTGGGACCGTGATCCCCCCTTCTTCACAAATCTATTTTCACCATAATCCTCTGAATCTTGCCATAAAATCGCAATTTCGATCCATTTTCCGTTGAGTTCCGGCTGTCCTTTTTCAAAACCAAAACCAGACCCAAACTCCTGGTGTCCGGGCGTCCCTCACTGAATTTTTGAAGCAATTTGGCTAGAATATTTTCCAGCAGGGCTATTTCCGACGAGCTTCAGGAGAAGCTTCAGCAAGCCTCTTCGGCCTGTTTTCCTGTTGTTTTTCAACTCCCTTGTCGTCTCCTCACCTTCCCCTTTGATCCTACTTGAGTCTCCAGGTGTGTTTTGAACTTTTACCTTGTCAATTTTAGAGAACCGGATTAGGGTTCTTAGGCGAGGGGATTTTGTGATTGAATGCATGAATGTTGAAATTAGGCAAGGGTTAGTCAATTTATGTTGATTGATTGATGCATGAAGTGATTGTGGGCTTGATTGAGCCTTGGTGGGCAATATTTGGTATAAATTGTGTTTGAATTGGAAAATGTCCACCAAGTGCAATATGTGAATGAATGTTTGATCCACTTTTATGCATGATGGTTGGTGGCCATCGAGGCATGGTTTAGGTTCGAAATTGCAACCTTCATGAACTTTGAATTGCCTAGCACCATGCCTCGATGTGTCTTGTGTGGAAATGAGCTTAATTGTTGGAGAACCGATCTTGTGAAAAGCCTTGAAGGTGTATATTCATAGTGAAATCCTATGTGTGGGGAATCCTTTTCTCCCCGATGAATTGAGATGAACAAATGTTTCCATGTATGGTGTATGACTTTTGATGTTTTTGCAGGATGGTTGATCCAATCCACCCGTACATTCACTATTTGGTGAATCATCATAAGTACGAGAACATGTTTGAGCAGTAGTGGAACAATGCAGCAGGACCCTCACTGGTTCTTGGACCTGAACATGTTCATCGTATTCAGGGGTCGAGCGACGATATCTGGGGTGATCATCCTCCCCCACTGGCGGACCTTTTGTCCATGGACGAGCTCATCTATGGAGAGCTCTGTTTGGAGTTCTACTCCACCTTCATCCATGTGGTGCCCACCAACAGGCACAACTACCCGTACGATGGGTTCTCTCAGGCAATGGGGCTTGACACCACTACCATGGCGATGATGGAGCGGGAGTATACCAGAGACTTCTGCTATTAGGAGGCATATCAGACCACATGCCTTCTAGAGCATCAGGACCAGCAGTTTTCGGCCTCTAACACTAATGTAGTGAAGTTTCGTAGGCCGTGGAGGATCCTGCACATGCTACTCACCCGGTCAGTGATCCCAGTCTGCAGTATGGGCATATGGTCACCAATAGAGGGTTGATAGCCCTCCACGCTTTAAGTCGGCCTATAACACCACTCTATCTGGGTTCAGTGGTTGCTACCACTTTTTCTAGAGTGCTGGGTCGTGACCGAGTGGACACGATGCACTTGGGGGGGACTTATTATGAGGATAGCTCAACACTTTAGAGTGGACACAAAGGGCTGCTCCATCATCGGTTGGATGAAGCCTTTCCCCATCGAGACCTTGCACAATATGAAGCTGGTGCAGGGAGAGTGAGGGATTGAGTGTCTTGACGGACTCAACCCTTCAGATGCACTGAGGCCATAGGTAAAGCATGCACCGGTGGAGCCCGATCCATCTGAGATTTCGCCTGCTCAGCCATGCCAGCACCAGCGTCGGCAGCCTACGCCACCACCATCATCATCATCGGTCGGAACCAGTCCTTCCTCATCCACAGTCCACATAGAGGATCGAGTTACTCACCTCGAGGAGCAGTACACAAGGTTCTCCACACCGTTGGATAGATCCCACACTTTGCTGGAGCGGATAGCTCGATGTCAGGGAGTCTTGTCCGACAATGAGGAGCACCCATCTACGTATTGAGAGAGGTAGTCGACCGAGTGAGAGACGTGGCAGAGCCGATCTCTTTCGCCCCACTTCTCCACTCGGAACTTTTTCCTTTTTCTTTTCTTTAGTGTGTGAACACATACTATTGTGAGTTTCTCTTCTTTTAATCCCTGACGTTGAATATTGTTATGTCAATAGCCTTGGCCCGAGCGAGAATGTGTGTGTTTACTTCTTCTTTTTGAAGCTCAAAATCTCCTACCCTTCTTCACCCTACCCTTTTCTCCATTGAGGATAATGTCGTGCTTGAGTGTGTGTTTGTGTGGGGGGGGGGGGGGGGGGTATATCATTTGTGATTGGTATGTGAATGTGGGTGTGTGAATGCTTGATCAAAGTGGTCGGTTTGTTGGAGACACATTGATTGCTTGTGATCGAGTGCATCCTATTACGATGATTGAGAATTACATTAGTGCAAATATTTAGTTCTCATATGTGTGTGAAAATTAATGGATGCCTTGACTTTATTACACTATGATTACAAATGCCATGCATCGAAATTTGTGAAGTTGGAATAGCTGATTGGGTGATTAGGTAGCCATGTGAGATTTGTGTCGATCGTCTTTTTCATGTGTGATATATCCCTCTTGACATGGTGAATAACACTCACGTTGTCATTAGTGAGGATGATAGAGGCATAGAATTAGTCCACGCCTCATCGTATCCCCTAGTCAGCCCTTTTGAGTTGTGTGACTTTAGGTCATTCTCATGTTAGGAGCTTGTTCTTTTTGAGTTTAATGGTGATTGATCAGAATGACCCTTTGCTTTCTTCTTGTCTAAACCGTTGTGAATCATCCTTGTGTCTCAGAGCTCTCGCTTTTAAGCTCCATTGAAGTTTTACAAAGGTGGATTTTTCATGGTTCCTGCTAGGAATGAAAAAGGTAGTGTTGGAGGAAGTTCTTAATAGAGAGCATCATTTGTTAAGTGTAAAGGTGACATGTGTTTAGCTCTCTATTACCCCCCTCCCCAAAAAAATACAAAAAATACAGAAATAGGAATTGAAAAAGAGGTAATAAAAGTGGTAAATAAAAGAAACAGAGTTGCCACAAAGGTTGATGTGTATGCTCTGGAAGGGTTTCTTAGCACTCAATCCATTAAAATGCCTAATTTCTTGTTGACCTTCTTCACTACTATGCTTTAAATTAGATAGCAGGTGTAGCCGAGAAAGTGTGCTTGAATGTAGTTCATGATTGGTAGTGGTTTGGAAGAAGGGAAGTGTGGTTTTGGCCAATTTTAGTGGTTGTTGTTGGTAGGAAAGGTTCTAGTCAAAACCATAGAACCTTTGGTTTTAGGTTCAAGATGTAGAACCTCATAATATGTTTGCCCCCATCTAAAAGGCCCTTTTCCCATGTCCAAGACCCTTGCCAGTCATTTGAACCCATGTCTAATATCTTCGGACAAGCTAGTGATGACAACCATCTTGTGAACTCTAGCATTTGGAGGTTGCTGACACGCTAAAACACAACACCAAACTGCGACCAAGTGTAATCGCAGTCAGAAAATGCAGAATAGTGGCAAGTCTATTTATCAACCCGGGGTCTACACAATAGTACGTGTTTAATCCACCTCAGTCCAATAGTTCTGCGACCAATAGTACGTCTTATGCTGACCAAGACCTCTCAGTCCAACTATTGGTCGCAGAACTAGTCGTCTGCCTGTGAAGACTAGTCGTCTGCGGAATCTCTTATGCTGACCAAGACCTCTCAGTCCAACTACCCGACAGACGACTAGTCTTCACCGGGGTAGAAAGCTGAGGCTATGAACACATAACTCCACTACTGGAATCCACTGGAATTGGATTCCAGTACAAAGCAGTAAATCGATTAACTCTCGTATAATCAATCTACCACTACCGATTGATGAGGCTCTAACAACCTAATCAGATTCTATCTATCTCAGGTTGCAGTAGAAGTCAAGTAAAGATGATCAGACTTCAATTGACTCAATGAATCATGCATCAATCGATTAAAATCAAACAGTAAACAATCCCAAGTCATTACAATCAAGATTCCTAACACATGGAACTAGGGTTCTTCATACCCAAGTGAGAGAAAGTTCTACTCCATAGAGAGAGAGAGAGAGAGGAAAACAGTAATCAGAGTAGTCATACTCATAAAGATGAGGATAATCTACTCCAGGATGATGATCTTCACTCATGGGGATGCAATCTGGGCTTCAATGGTGAGAAATCCACTCCAAATAGCTCCTAGAGTTTGTTCTTCGCACTTTCTCTCTCTAAAACTCTGTTTTGCTCCAAAAAGTCGACCCCCTCCCCTTTGGATCGAATCTGCCTCAAAAACCCGATTCTGGGCGAATTACGGGCTGAATTATGGTCGTAAACATGGTCTGCCCGTATTTCACCCAAAACGCGCGTTTCACTTAACTCTAATGAGGGGAATTACGGTCGTAATTACCCAATTACTGCCAGTATTTGTGGAATTACGACAGTGGTTCATTTTGCTCTTGCCCGTAATTTGATCTTCGTAGGCATTCTCAGGGATTTGGCTCGGCATTGCATTTACGGGCAGGGCAGAGGCAATTACGCCTGTAGTTGGGCAGGGGATGCCCGTATTTCTTCCTCATCTCCTGTTTAATGCTTCGTTTCTCCCTCGTACGGACTCCGAATCACTCGTCGTTTGATCCCAGACGCTCATAGTCTCGTCCTCTTTCTTTTCATGACAAGATTCCATGATCATTTTTCCATAATATGAGGTAGAAATCCATTCTTCCTCAGGTCATGCTCGTTTTTCTTCTCCCAAATTGCCAAATGAATTCCGATTGACTTGAAACTTGCGCCTTTGCTTCAATTTACATGCTAGGACCTGAAATACGAAAAAACAACACAACCTAGCGTAAAATAGGCCAAGCAACCACAAATTCGAGCTAAAATGGTCAGGAAAAAAGGGTGCAAACATGTGCAAAAACGATGCTATCAAATTCCCCCACACTTGATCGTTTGCTTGTCCCCAAGCAAACCAAGTCAGATACAAGGATAGCTCAACACATTTCAATCATGCAACCCTTGGGGACATATCATATAGGCACGAAACACGAGAATTATACTGGCTTTTAGACATCAACACATGAACAACTTCAACAACAACCTGGACGACCACCACAGAGGACATTCGAGTGCAGCAAAATCGGGTAAAGGAAGAGTCTCCCTTCTGTTCACCAACCAACCTAGACTTGACTCAACCACTTATTCAAGACAGTCAGCTCATGCATAAAATTCAAGACATCTGAATCAAGACCGAGCCATCTAGGTCCTCACCGTGGTAAAGAGTGTAAAGAAAAAGGAAATAAATCGCTCACTCTCGACCAGTGGGGTCAGGAAAATTTGATGCGAAAAATGTGCATACTTATTCTCTCAATCCCCAAAGTCTCTTCACCATGACGGCAACCTCTAAATGTTAGAGTTCACATAAATGGGTGTCATCACTAACTAATCCGGAGGTCTTAGACATAGGTTCAAATGACGGGTTAGGGTCTTGGACATGGGGAAAAGGCCTTTTAGGTGGTGGAAGTATTCATAGCACAAGGTTCTCCAGTTCCAAACCCAACATATTCACAGCCAATCAACCCACTTACTTTCTTTCTGCCATTCTGCATTACTCAAATTCTTTAGAACACAAGAGCGAAGGAGGTCACAATAATGTTAGTATTTCTAAGCCAGACTGCTAAGAAACACTACTTGATGAGCATGATTCAGATTTTTGGTAGTGGCTCTCTTTAGCTTTATCCATTTTCTTCTTCTTTTTTTTTTCATTTCTTGAGAGAACCACCACCTCTGCACATTTTTCAAACACATGCCCAACTTTTTTAAGATCTACCTCTAACCCTCACATTATTTTTAGCAGAAACAGCAGAGAACATGCAAAAACCACTCCGTGGAAAGGGTGATTTTCCATTATAAACCGAAAGAAAGAAAGTGACACGGCTCAAAGGGGCTGACTAGGGGGTACGACACACCATGACAGTCAATTTGGTCGTGGGCTATTCCTATGCCTCCATCATCTTAGCTAATGACAACGTCAATGTTACACATCATGGAAGAGGGATCTATCGCACAAGAAAGAAACGAGCAGGCTCAAATCTCACATGGATACCTATATGCTCTCTCTCTCTCATTCCGATTCCCTGAACTAGATGCATAAACGACTGTCAAGAACAAGTGATAAATCCAAGTCATAGTTGGTAAGCAAACAGTTAAAAAACTGAACCCCTACACAATTCTACTGCACGTCTCAGTCATCATTATAGGCTGTCCTAGTCACAATCCAGTTGTCATGCATCAGTGTTAACAGCCATTCAATTCGCCACATAAACCACAGTGCCAATATGATTATGCAAACATCAGTACTTGATGCCCTTAAATCTCAAGATTTGGACAGCAGACTAGGCTCCAAGCACACACATATACCTTCCAATAAAGACAAAGAACCCCCCCCCCCCCACAACCACACTTAAGTTCGACATTGCCCTCAATGGAGCAGAGGGAAGGGGAACGATGTTACCAGGAATTGATGAGCGGGAACGGTTACTGGAAGGCAGACTAGTCAAGAGCAGGGGACTAGAAGGGGACCAGTCCAACTGGCACAGAGCTGTAGTTATGAAAACACACACACTGGGTGAAAGAAACTATAGTTCCAAGTGGAAACCGAAAACAAACAACATAAAAACAAACCGCGGTGGGGTTGCCTCCCCACAAACGCTTCTTTATCGTCGTGAGCCGGACAGTGCCTCCTAAGTTTCGGTCCATCCCAGAACCTCCTTGAAGTTGAGGTTCTCATTAATGAGGTGGAGTCTCAAGTCACGAGCATGTGATGTGATAGGTGATGAAGATGGCTCGTGGCCTTGAGGAAGATGAAGTCTCCACTCTCGAGACCTCTCCTTCGCGTATGCTCTTGTCTTATTGACCCAAACCAGATAAGATATATTCGATTGACCACCATCGCATCCACCAAGAGGGATCGATGTTGATGTGGTCTTGGTCTGGCAAAGAGACACTGCAAATGGGTCCTTGCCAAGCAGCTCCTCGAAGTTTGGTGGAGATATCACATGTAACTCATGGCCGGTGCATGCCTCTTCCACCTCAACTTCATCCTCAGCCTGGACACCACTTGCTTCTTTAACCCACCTTCCTTCATCAGAATGTGGTCTCTCCCCTTGGAAAAGATCAAGAACTTCCTCTTCTTTACTTTCTTCCTCATCCTCCACAACTTCTTCCCTCACCCTTTCTCGCTCTTCTTCTTCTAGCACAGATTGGAGAGCAAGTCGCCATGTTATTTCTTCAATGAGATCATCTTGCATCTCCTCGCTCGGGCCCAGCATATCAGAGCGGATATGGGGACAGTTGTGATCTACCACCAGAGGATACACTTGATCATGATTATCATGGGAGCTTTCCGTGACAACTTTTGTATGCTCCTCAACATCCTCATGATTGCCTTCTTCTTCCTTTTCCTCTACTTGTATGGCAGCATAAAGGTTGTCTTGAGAAAACTGTGCACAAGCTTTCTCAATGACCTCTATGTGCTTCTTTATGCTACGAAGGGTATCCTCTGTTTCACGGAGAAAAGAGAAGTCAGTTTGGACCATGGCCGGGATATGAGGATCCATCTAGGGAAAGGATCTCACATGTACCCGAGCAATCTGCTCCACGAGAAGCCTCAAGTGATAGTTTGGATCTGGCTGTGGAGTGTAAGGTTGTGGCTAAATCAAGATCTGATGGCCCTTCTAGTTGTGGGAGGAATTCTTCTTGATAATGAGATTGTTCTTGAAATACCCAATGGTCTGATTGTTCTTCGTAGTAGGGGGGTTGGTACTGAAACCCGAATCCATAGTCTTCTCCTCCTTGGGTGCTCCAGGAAGTCTCGGGATAATACCACCCGGATGGTGGTTGATACCCCCAATGATTGGAGAAGCCATGAGGATCCATGTTTCAGATCTGCACCCAAAAAAAATATAACACCCAAGTGAAAAGCAAGGGTGGAAAAGAAAAGGAAAATGCTAAAGTAACAGACTTTCACGTTTCTACAATAACCTAGGGTCCTCGGCAACGGCGCCAAAAACTTGACACGCTAAAACACAACACCAAACTGCGACCAAGTGTAATCGCAGTCAGAAAATGCAGAATAGTGGCAAGTTCTATTTATCAACCCGGGGTCTAGATCTACTGCCTACTCCGTGATTATCTATTTTCTAGAAAACTAAGTCGAGTGATTGTGATTTTAACTAAAAGCAGTAAGAAAGCAGGAAATGGTTCAAAGTTCTTTAGTAAGGGAAGAGTCACTCAGGAATGAGTCCCCCTAGCTCCTTAGTTAGGTCACAATTGTAATTACCCTGGGTTGATTAACTGTTGATTAAACTGCGGAAGATCCGACAGTAGCTTGGAATCTCTTAAGCTGACCAAACCCTCTCAGTCCAACTACCCGGCAGACGACTAGTCTTCACCGGGGTAGAAAGCTGAGGCTATGAACACAGAACTACACTACTGGAATTGGATTCCAGTACAAAGCAGTAAATCGATTAACTCTCCTATAATCAATCTACCACTACCGATTGATGAGGCTCTAACAACCTAATCAGATTCTATATATCTCAGGTTGCAGCAGAAGTCAAGAAAAGATGATCAGAATTCAATTGACTCAATGAATCATGCATCAATCGATTAAAATCAAACAGTATAACAATCCTAAGTCATTACAATCAACATTCCTAACACATGAAACTAGGGTTCTTCATACCCAAGTGAGAGAAAGTTCTACTCCATAGAGAGAGAAGAAAACAGTAATCAGAGTAGTCATACTCATAAAGATGAGGATAATTTGCTCCGGGATGATGATCTTCACTTCTGGGGATGCAATCTGGGCTTCAATGGTGAGAAATCCACTCCAAATAGCTCCTAGGGTTTGTTCTTCGCACTTTCTCTCTCTAAAACTCTGTTTTTGCTCCAAAAAGTCGACCCCCTCCCCTTTGGCTCGAATCTGCCTCAAAAACCCGATTCTGGGCAAAATACGGGCTGAATTACGGTCGTAAACATGGTATGCCCGTATTTCACCCAAAACGCGCGTTTCACTTAACTCTTATGAGGGGAATTACGGTCGTAATTAGGGGTGTGCAATGGTCCGGTCCGTACCGGACCACACCGGACCAAACCGTTGTTAAGACCGGACCGGACCAGACCGAGTAAAATGCGGTCCGGTCCTTGGTCCTCATGAATTTTATAATTACTGAAGAAATGGTGGACCGAGCTCATATTTGGACCGGACCGAACCGGACCAAATGGACCAAATGCAAGAATGGTCCGGTCCTTGGTCCTAACATGTCTTTCACTAATGGACCACGGTTCTCATGAGTTTGGTCCGGTCTGGACCGAACCGAACCGTTGCACACCCCTAGTCGTAATTACCCAATTACTGCCAGTGTTTGTGGAATTACAACCGTAGTTCATTTTTCTCTTGCCCGTAATTTAATCTTCGAAGGCATTCTCATGGATTTGGCTCGACATTGCATTTACGGGCAGGGCAGAGGCAATTACGCCTGTAATTGGGCAGGGGATGCTCGTATTTCTTCCTCCGCTCCTGTTTAATGCTTCGTTTCTCCCTCGTCCGGACTCCGAATCAGTCGCCGTTTGATCCCAGACGCTCGTAGTCTCGTCCTCTTTCTTTTCATGACAATATTACATGATTATATGTCCATAATATGAGGTAGAAATCTATTCTTCCTCAGGTCATGCTCATGTTTCTTCTCCCGAATTGCCAAATGAATTCCGATTGACTTGAAACTTGCGCCTTTGCTTCAATTTATATGCTAGGACCTGAAATACGACAAAACAACACAACCTAGCGTAAAATAGGCCAAGCAACCACAAATTCGAGTTAAAATGGTCTGGAAACAAGGGTGCAAACATATGCACATCTTTTTGGCTCAAGTGGTCCTGCTAGTTGAGAGTGAGTGATTCATTCACATTTTGCATGTTCATATTTTATCCTAGTGAGGACCTAGTTCGCCCATTTGTTTGTTCCTTGGACTTGAACTCTATACATGGTTAATTGTGGTTGGTGAGTAGTCTTGTCGAGACTTATATTAATTTGTGAACAAGGTGAGAACTTTTCAGTTGTAAGTTTTAAATGCATTTGTATGTCATTTGTGGTGGATGCTGACATTGGTTGTGAATGTCCATGTGTTGATGACCGATAGGTATTGAGATTCACCCACTTTGAGCCTTTTGATGTGTTCCCAAGTTATCTTGTTAGCTTGAGATAGTACCTTGTTTGAAATTGGTTTGCTTGGGGACAATCAAACTTCTAAGTATGGGGGAGTGATTTGGGGCCAATTGTACACATTTTACCCCCGTCTTCCCTAGATGTTTGAGGAATTTTCACTCGGTGAGGTTCGATTTTACGCTTGGTTGTGCTTATTTCGAGTAGGTGGAATCGACCTCGGGAAAAAAAGTTGGACGAAAATGGGCGAAAATGGATCAAAAGGAGAAATTAGTTGAGTTTCACGGTGGAGGCCAAGAGTTCACGGTCAGCCGACCGTGATGACGAGGCAAGGACCGTAACAAGAGTTTCAAAACATCAAAGTTGTTAACGTATCCAAGATATGATAACCCCACAATTTAGTATCAAACCTTGCATGAGATAAAGAAAGCTTAGCAGGAAGAATAGATTTGAAAAAATGAACATCATACAAATGAAAGATCTTCAATCATGCATCGAACTATCCAATCACACATAATTACAAAATCATAATGACACAAGTAAAGGGAACCACTCATTAATCCATCCATAGCAATCGCAAAAATCAAACACCATATGTAAAAGGAACCACTCCCTAATTCCTCTTTAACTCATCCAATGAATCCATTAAAGCAAATACCCAACACTCATCCATCCATAGCAATCGCAAAAATCAAACACCATATGTAAAAGGAACCACTCCCTAATTCCTCTTTAACTCATCCAATGAATCCATTAAATCACATACCCAACACTCATCCACAAAGCAAACACGACCTAGGACATGCTCTAACCATATTATATAAGGGAAGCGAAGGAACCTATATATACTACAACTAACATGCAAAGAGGACTAGAATTTTCAATTTCAAGAGTCCAAAGAAATTTTAAAAAACACGAGCATACGCTCCCAAACATTAGAATATTCAAAGGAGTGAACAAAAGATACTAGGAAAATGTGACAATAGACTACATGGGCTTGAAAGTGGAATTGATAGTGTATGATGGTCTTTAAGGAAATTCATAATACAAACAATGGGGTTGTAGAAGAGATTTGGCAGATTATTATAAGGTACTATGGGGGTTTGGAAAATAAACATTCATCAAAGTAGAGTTTTGGGAAGCTTAATCTCGAAAGAAAAGGGTACATATGACTTCTCTAAGTCTATGTTACCAAAATTTAGGATAAGATAATCTAAAAGGAAGCAGCTAATAGTCCGTTCCCTTAAACCTCTTTTCTCTTTGTCCAAGTTCACAGCTCCAGAATCATGATCCTCCTGCTATATCCACTAAACACATGGACGAGGATGAAGTCCCCTTCCACATCCCTCAAGCCACTGACCTCCATCGCACTAGAGTGGTTGAGACTTCGAAAGAGCTTTGGCAAGGCATTGCAAAAACTTATGAGGAGCTATCTATAGAGTCCAAGGAGGTGGAGGAGCATCGCAACTTCATTAAACCTTGGGATAATCCACATTCATTCTTAGCTTACGTTGGCATCCATCCACTCCTCAACTTTTTCCAAAACAGAAAATAATGAAGACCATCAGTTGGAGTAAGATCAAGGTTGCTACTCATTCCAGACTTGACTGACTAGACTTCTTCAGGTATTGAGGCTATTCTAAGTCCATGTTTACGAGACTTCACACTTTTGGACTCACCGAGATCTTCATGGTCCATGGGGACGACATCGAGCTCTTCATTAGAGAGTTCAAGGACACATTTGCTCTCTGCCTAGCTTCAACCTCCAACGCCATCTGTATCTCCCACATATTGGGCGGCCAGAAGTTCTTATAACACCTAAAATATGTTTGAATGTCATAATTATCGTACTTAAGCCATTTTAGGTTGATTTTAAGATATTTATTAATAAATGTTGATATCCAAAGACTTGTCATGATATTTATCGATTTTTGGCCATTTAGGTCGTAACTTGTTCATTCTCAACATATTATAGGCTAGGTTGATCCTATCATGATAATGAAGGATTTTCCCAAGTTTCATGTCGATCAAAAGTTGGTAAAAATAAGGTGGAAAGAAGACCTAGGGTCAGGTCATAGCCAAGGTCACAATCGTGACCCAAACTGTGGCCAATTTCACGGTCATGAACGGGAGAAACAAAAAAGGGCATAAGGTATCATGGCTAGCCTAATGGTACAAAGGGCCAAACCACGAGAAAGTTCACGATTGCGAGAAATGTTCACGATCGTGACTCTTGTAAATTCTGCCAATCAACCTGCTCATGGTTTGGCTCATAGTCGTGGCCCAAGTGTACGTGGGCACCAGGCCGTGCCGCCCACGGGCTAGCACGGCACGAGCACAGGCACTTTATAAATGGGCCAGCCCGGCACAAGCACGAATAATTTATGGGCAGTGCCAGACCCTAAAACTTCATGGGCACGGGCATGACACGGTAGATAAGTGGTCCGTGTGGGCCTAATATTTTCGAGACTTTATTGAGTATAAGAACAAACATGACACGAAAATAATATTTATTTGATAGAAAATAAACATAAAATAATTATAGGTTCAAATATTACAAAACACAAGTAGAAAAATAATAATTTGTTGTTGTTAGAAGTATCATAAAGATATATACATAATTACTAAAATAAGTAAAAATGGACAAAGAATTAAACAAAGCCAAATCACACTCGCTATACTTCTAATTTTCTTTCCCCCCTTATTTGTTACTATTCTCAAACATTATCGGTTAACACTATCTTCCCCCGTCCAATTTTGACCTTCTTTTTCATTCTCTCTTTTGTTTTCGTCCTTTTTACTAACACGAATACGAGTATGGCACGAGCACGAATAGGCAAGGCATGATTCAAACCGTGCCCGGGCCTGGGCCGGGCCTAGCAAAGTTAACAAATGGGCTTGCATGGCACGACACGAAAACTGGCGGGTCGTGCCAAGCACGACACGAAATAAATGGCCCCGAAGCATGCGCGTGCCGGCCCAAGCATGGCCCAGCGCCCATATACATGCCCAAGTCATGAGAAGGTGCAGATTTAATAAGTTCATAGGCATTTGTAAATTCACGACCATGAAATCCCGCGAAAAATCGCCCGTGAACTTTGCTTTATGCACGAGTTGATAAGTTCTTTGAGCTATTTTGAAAGAGAAAAAAGTTTTTGAGCATTTTCAATACCAAATAGAGAGAGATAAAGGATTGAGAATGGTTTCCACCTATGGACTGGGGATTCTTGAAGATTTAAAGGAGCATTTGAGGATTGAAGAGCCTTCTCGTATGAATTCTCTTCTTCCCCTCTTTATTTCTTCTTCCCTTCCATTCATGGGCTACAACCCATTTGTACTTGACACAAATCTCACATTCATATTCTGGGTTTTCTTTTAATGGGTTGGAGCTCCCCACCAAATAAGGAAAAATGGTGTCACACACCCATGAGTTGACCCGCAACAAGGTTCTTGGGTCGGAGGCACACAAAGTCGTTTTTCCCTTTGGTGTGCGAATTGCACATGTTTTCCGATTTTCCCATTCGCCTAACTCTGCCTTTTGAATTCTAAGTTGAACATTTGAATTACTGATGTTACATGAGTGTGTTTGACGTTCCACTATATGTTGGATCCAAATATGAACAGTTTTTTAGTGTATTGTTATATATTATTACCCATATATTAGATGAGATGTTATCTAAATTATAAATGTATGAACACTATAATAACTTTTTCATTTATCTCAGCTAAACCGGACTTAAATGATTGGATCGTTAAATCCCAACCCACTTATTCAACAATCCAGCGAGCTAAACTGGGTTGATAACCTTCCTTCCCACAATCTAAGGGGTCGTTTGGTTTTGGTGAATGGTGATATTTAAATCAATGCATTATAGTCAATGTATGCATTGTAATATACATGCAATTAAGGAAAATGATGTAATGAACATTACATTGTTTGGTTTTTGTGATAATTCTTTTAGTATTCAACATGTTATATTGCTTTTTGTAAGAAATGTCACTCATTTTAGTATTCAACAATCTCCTCAAAACTATCTCAACAATCTCAAGTTTTAGTAGAGATAGTACTATCACATCAAGTAAACAATGCATGTATTGTTTGTACAGAAAATAAAATAAAAACAATGCATCGTGAACAATACATGAATTGTAACTATCTCAACCAAACTATCACCAAAACCAAACCACCCTATATTACCACTCTTCTCAAAATACATAAGTTATAAAAAAATTTCCAAAACTACACATGTTCACATTCACCGTTTTGACAAACGCAGTGAATATAATCACCGCGTTTGACAAACACGGTGAACATTTCACCGTTTTTAATAAAAACGATGACAGGTTCACCGTTTTTATTAAAAGTGGTGAAGTGTTCACCGCGTTTAACAAAAACGGTGAAGACATCACCGTTTAAATTAAAAGCGGTGAAAACGTCACCGTATTAGGGCAAAGCGGGGAACGTCTTCACCGCCCCAGGCTAAGACGGTGATTGTTTCCCATGTTTCCCACCCCTGGTAGGTGGAAATTAGGTCACAACCACCTAATCT